AATTGGAGTTACAGATATTTGTAAGCTGCTGTGTAGGTGCTAGGCAGCAAATCCAGGACCTCTGGAAGAGCAGCCAGTGCTCCTCACCACCGAGCCATCTCTCCAGCCCGAGTGTGAGCCTCAGGACCCACATGCTAGAAGTAGAGAACCAATTCCCACAAGCTGTCCTCCGACTTCCGTACTAATGCGGTCACACACAGACATAAAATGTAGTGTGTGTATATCTGTGAAAAAGAAAGTGAAAGTCAGTTTTTTTAATCATAAAATTCTGTTTTAACTGTCACGATCTGTTTTCCTTTTTTCCTTTTTGTTTTATCATGCTGTGAATGGAAGCTAGGGTTAAACAAACACTCTACCAGTGAGATATATATATATCTTTACATTCTTTTTCATCTTAACAGCAACATGAACTCATATGTTAAAGTGGATGGGACACTTGAAAGCAGTATGATTCAATTTACTGTCTTAATTAGTTAAGTAACCCAGCTCATTTTGGGAGGGGTGGGTGTTTCAAGACAGGGTTTCTCTGTGTAGTTTTGGTTCCTGTCCTGGAACTCACTCTGTAGCCCAGGCTGGCCTCCAACTCGCAGAGATCCGCCTGCCTCTGCCTCCCAAGTGCTGGGATTAAAGACGTGCGCCACCACCGCCTGGCCCCAGCTCATTTTTAAAACCTTTCCAATATCAGAGACCCTATTTACACAATGTGGCAATCTATTCACTTCACTTTTAAAGAAATCAAATTGCCAGGATGTTCTTTCTTACAACTAATGAAACTTGTCTCTTCTATGGCTTCTACTCACACACCCCTGGAGATACAAAACAGCACAACTGCTTTAATCAAACATTCAGGGATATGTCCCCAAGTATCCCCAATCTATCTGTGTGACAGTAAGTCAGGATCAGATCCATTCAACCCACTTTTCTGTGGAAAACGAAGGGGTTGGACCACTTAATACATCTTCTAGCTTTTGAATTACAGGTTTTTAATAGTCCTTCAAGATAATCATGGGTGGAGTCATACAGTTGGTAGAGTGCTCGGCTGCTGTCCCGCTTTTATTTCTGTTGTCTTGATCAAATGCCCTTACAAAAAGCGACGTAGGGTCTTCCCACATCTATCAAGACTATCCCTCAGAGCCATGCCAACACGCAAACCCAATTCCTCGTTGAGAGTCTCTTCCTAGATGACTCTAGATCGCGTTGAGTTTACAATCAAAACTACCAGAGGCTGGAGAGAGATGGCTCAGTGGTTAAGAACACTTGCTGTGAACACTTGCTGCAGGGGAGTCAAGATCATGATGGGGAAATCTACAGAGACAAACAAACCAATCTCATAGGAACTCACGAACTTTGGACCAACAGCGGTGGAACCTGCATGGGACTGGATAGACCCTCTGCATATGGGAGACAGCTGGGTCTGTTTGAGGGGCCCCTGGCAGTGTGATCAGGATCTATCCCTGGTGCATGAGCTGGCTTTCTGGATCCCATTACCTATGGTTGAACACCTTGCTCATCCTTGATACAGCTGGGAGGGGCTTGGTCTGGCCTCAACTGAACGTACCAGGCTTTGCTGTCCCCCCATGGGAGGACTTACTCTTTTGGAGGAGGGGATGGGAGGAGGTAGGTCTGGGGGAGAAGGGGGGAGAAGCGGGATGAAGGATGAGAAGGGGATCTATGGTTAGTATATTAAATGAATTAAAAATTTTTTAATTAAAAAAAAGGGCACTTTCTGCTCTTTTGGAGGACCTGGGTTCGGTTTCTAGCACCACATGACAACTTAAAACTTTCTGTAACTCCAGTTCAGAAAATCTAGTGCTGGCCTCCATGGGCACTGCATGCATATGCTACATAGTCATGCTGGTTTGATCGCTGGCACCACACAAAGTTGGTATGGTGGGTTCATTTCTGTAATCTCAGCATTCAAAAAGTGGAGGCAGGAAGATCAGGAGTTCACATTCTTGATTACATAGCAAGTTTGAGGCCAGCCTGGAATACATGAAATTCTGATTAAATAATAATAATAAAATAATAATAATAACAATAATAAAGCTGAAAGTAGTGTGACGGGAGCCATAAGCCTAAGCAACCCTTGACACACATGCTGCCATATTTAGGTTTCTCTCCTCTTTTCTTAGATCTAGGCCTTGCTTAAGTCTCCATAGCACCAGAACCTCTTCCCACAGATACCAGAACCTCTTCTCAGATATTAGGTGAATGAGCTGCAGTTAGGCAATTAGGCAGTTAGGCAAGAGTAGATAGATAACCTTCAGAGCAACATTTCCTGCTGGCCAAACAGCCCATAATTAAGTCCCTTCCTGCTTGTAACCCCCGTTACTAAGTCCCTTCCAGCTCTCAACCCCCTTTGCCTACCTATATTTGCCTTGAGAGTAAAATAAAATTTTGGAGCTTGATCAGACGTCCTGTCTTGCTCTCATTCTTTGTGTCTCTTGTCCCTCTCATTCGCCGGCCCTCCCTTTAGGTCCCCGTTGAAGACCCCTCTGGCCGGGGCAGTAGTGTTATTGTTGATTTCTAAATCAACAATACAAAAATTTGGGCCGGGCGGTGGTGGCGCACGCCTTTAATCCCAGCACTCGGGAGGCAGAGCCAGGCGGATCTCTGTGAGTTCGAGGCCAGCCTGGACTACCAAGTGAGTTCCAGGAAAGGCGCAAAGCTACACAGAGAAACCCTGTCTCGAAAAACCAAAAAAAAAAAAAAAAAAAAAAAACCAAAAAAAAAAAAAAAAAACAAAACAAAACAAAACAAAAAAAAAAATACAAAAATATATTTAGAACTTTAAAAAAAATCTTATTTCAGTTTTTCTTTGATGGAAAGAAAATAAAGTGCTGGGTAGTGGTAGCATACCCCTTTAATCCCAGTACTCGGGAGGTAGAGGCAGGCAGATCTCTGAGTTCGAGGCCAGCTTGGTCTATAGAGTGAGTTCCAGGACAGCCAGGGCTACACAGAGAGACCCTCTCTTGAAAAAAAAAAGAAAAAGAAAGAAAGAGAGAGAATACAGTAGGTGTGGGGCCTGGCGAGATGGTGCCAGCCTCCGAGCCTATGGGTTTGAGCTGGATCCTAGAATCCATACGGTGGAAGGAAGAGAACCATTTCAAACAAGCTGTCTCTGATCTGCACGTGCACACTAGGCATGCACATATAAATGCTTATACACAAAATAAAAAATATAAGACTGTAAAAACGCAAGGCCCAGGGTTCGGTCCTCAGCTCTGGGAAAAAAAAAAAAAAAAGAAAGAAAGAAAGATTCAGTTCTGGTTTAGAACGTAAACACGGTCAGCAGTCACAGTGGTGTGAGTGTGAGGTCTGCTCTAGGGGCTAAAGTAGGAGGGGGATTCCAGCTGGAGGGTGGCCTGGCTGAAGACTGTCCTGCTAAACTACACAGAGAGACAGACAGACAGACAGACAGACAATCAATCCCAGGGCCTCGTGCATGCTACATGAACCCTCTATCACTGGGCTGTGCCAAGCCTTAGAGTTTGATTCTCTGAATTTCCAGCTGTTTTCACTCTCTTTCTTGACCATTCAATCTAAACTAATAGGGAATCGTGGAGAAAGGAAGCATAGGTAATATTAATTGACCACCGGGATCCTGGGGTGTTGTTTACTTGGAAATTGTCATTAATCTTTCTTAAAAGAACAAATGTTTGCCAGACAGTGGTGGCGCACGCCTTTAATCCCAGCACTCGGGAGGCAGAGGCAAGCAGATCTCTGTGAATTCAAGGCCAGCCTGGTCTACAGAGTGAGTTCCAGGACAGGCTCCAAAGCTACACAGGGAAACCCTATCTCAGAAAACAAAACAAAAACAAAAAAGAACAAATGTTATTTTATGTATCATAAATGCATAATCTTTATAAGAAATTCAGGGACTGGAGAGATGGCTCAGCGGTTAAGAGCACTGATTGCCTTCCAGAGGACCTGCCTTCAATTCCCACATGGTAGCTCACAATAGTCTGTAACTCCAGTTCTAGGGTACCCGACACCCTCACACAGACATACATACACTAATGCACATAAAAGAAAATAAATCATTTAAAAAAAAAAGAAATTCAAATAGCTGGGTAATGGTGGCCCACACTTTTTTTTTTTTGGTTTTTTGAGACAGGGTTTCTCTGTGTAGCTTTGCGCCTTTTCCTGGAACTCACTCTGTAGACCAGGCTGGCCTCGAACTCACAGAGATCTGCCTGGCTCTGCCTCCCGAGTGCTGGGATTAAAGGCGTGCGCCACCACCGCCCGGCAGGTGGCCCACACTTTTAATCCCAGCACTCAGGAGGCAAAGGCAGGCAGATCTCTGAGTTCAAGGCCAGCCTTGTCTACAGAGGGAAATCCAGGACAGCCAGGGAGACACAGAGAAACCCTGTCTGGAAAAACCAAAACCAAAACCAAAAAAAAAAAAGAAAAAAAGAAAAAAAATATTCCCCAAATGCTTAATTTAGGAAATGAATGTCTAGAAAACCACACTGAGAAGTAATCTCTAAAAGCAGTATTCTTGCATAAGCTTCTAAATTTCATTTATTACTTTTTTTTTTTTTTTGGTTTTTTTTTTTTTCTGTTTTTCCGAGACAGTGTTTCTCTGTGTAGCTTTGCACCTTTCCTGGAACTCGCTTTGGAGACCAGGCTGGCCTCGAACTCACAGAGATCCGCCTGCCTCTGCCTCCCAAGTGCTGGGATTAAAGGCGTGCGCCACCACCGCCCGGCTGTTGTTATTTTTAAGATGGAGTCATACTCTTTGGTCAGGCTGGTCTTGAACTGAAAATCCTCTCAGTTCAGCCTCCCAAGTTGCTGGAACTTTAGGCACATGTTACCATACTGAGCTAAGATCCTAGTTACACATTTTAATCTATACATTAATTTGAATATAAGCTAAGTAATTAACAAGCACGTGTACTACATATTCATATTATGCAAGATTACATAAATGTTAACCGCAAAAACTGTAACTGTATCATTCATTCAATACCTACTACTTTCACACATACTGCCTTTATAAAAATGTAGAACACTTTATGCTTTTGCATATCATTTTAGTGCAGGGGCCGTGTTAATCTTCTCTATGTCGTTCCAATTTTAGTATATGTGCTCCTGCTTTTTCTGAACCACTCTGTGCACCTCAGTAAGTACACGACCACTGAGCAACCACTCCAGACCTAAAAGGGTCTTTTTGTTATTCTAATGTGTCCATCCCTAGTGTTCAGTGAAGCTTGGAGACTTTTCAGAGATCTATTTCTACTTCTGTGATTCATCATCCATGAGATGCCTATCTACACTTAAGGAATTATGAAAAATTCATAAACAACAAATTTAATAGGAACCCAAAGCTCCTGAAATCTCCTACTTTTTAATCTTTCTGTGAGACAGGCAGAGACTCGTACCTTCTGGACAGCAACTTCTACCTGGGTTCCTTTTTCAGATCTGATGGTTTGGGGAGCAAATTGAAAACAGCAGATAAAGACGATTTTATTTTTGCATTCCACCCCCAGCCAACAGCAGCAGATGAGCTGTGCCTTAATTGTACCCTTCACCTCAAGGATGTTAGAGTTGTCTAGAAGTAGTTATTATTTCAATGTAGAAAACAGTAAGGAAGCATGTAAGCATAAATCATGGTGAGATATTTGAAAAAGTAGAATGTGAATTCAGATATGGTTTGCCATTGCTGACTATTGTTATTTATGTTTTGTTTTATTTATTTATTTATTTATTTATTTATTTATTTATTTATTTATTTTTATTTATTTTTGGTTTTTCAAGACAGGGTTTCTCTGTGTAGCTTTGCGCCTCTCCTGGAACTCACTTGGTAGCCCAGGCTGGCCTCGAACTCACAGAGATCCGCCTGGCTCTGCCTCCCAAGTGCTGGGATTACAGGCGTGCGCCATCACCGCCCAGCTTTGTTTTATTTTTTTGAGTCAGGGTCTGTCTCAATATATAGTGAAGGCTGGCTTGGAACTTTCAAGCTTTCTGCCTCAATTTCCCCTGTGCTGGGATTACAAGTGTGCATGACCACATTCAGCTATTGTTATTTTTTTTCTATACACTTCTTCCCTGGATTCTGAAGATATTTCTAGAACCAGTTTTGTTACTATAATAGACTAGAGTAGAAATATAATCGCTGATTTCTTGTTTTAATATTAATTTTATGTGTATGTGTGTGTGCCTGAGTATATGTGCACTACGTGTGTGCAGAAACCCACAAAAGTCAGAAGCAGTCTCAGATTCCCTGGAACTGGAGTTACAGGAGGTTGTAAACCATCCAGTATGGGTGCTGGGAGCCCAGGCTGTCTGCAAGAGGAGCAAGTGCTCTTAACCACTGAGCAATCTTCCCAGACCATATAATTGATTTCTTAATTGAATTCTAATTATTTACTATATAATTTGTCCTTACGATATACAATATGCAGAACTGAGGGTGTAGCTTATTGGTACAGTACTTGACTGGCATATGAAAGACCATGGGTTCAATTGCTAGCACCACAAAAAAATTACAATGTATACAATGCATTGGGCTGTAGTATATACAGAGGTAACCATTTAGTCAGTCGTCAACATCACAATTATCTAGTTCCAGAACATATTCTTCAATAGTCCATAAATACTATACCCATTAGGTTCATTCTTCATCCCTTACTCTCCCTCCTTAATACTCCTGGCTAATACTGACAAAATTTTAAGCTCTACATGTTTGCCTATTCTGGACATTTCATAGAAGTGGAATTATATAATATGTGGCCTTTTGCATGCCTGGCTTCTTTCACTTAGCACAGTGTTTCCAAGGTTTACCCATGTGTTGCATGTATCAACACTTCATTCCTTTTTAGGGCATAAGTATATTCCACTAAGTGTACACAACACATTTTATCAATTTACCAGTTTATTAGCATTTAAATCACTTCCATTTTTTTTTTTTGGTTCTGATAATGCTGCTGTGCACATTGGTGTGCATATTTGTATCTTGGCACTGTTTTCAATTTCATGGGATTTCTAGGTTATATAAGAACTCTTTATTAAGCCATTTCAGGAAGTGACTTAGGTGATTCCCAGTCTGATTCCCCCAGTGACAGTATGATTTTACAGTTCCACTAGCCATACATTAGGGTTCCAATTTCTCTGCATCTCCAAGGGTTCTAGTATCTATCATTTTTAATAATTATAATCATTCATCCTTGCACATATAAAATAGTATTGTGGCTTCTACTAATTAATACTTCTGAGTATCTTTTATGTGCTTAGTGGACACACGCATCTTTTGGGAAGAAGGGTCTGAATCCTTATTCTTATTAATTCATTTCTGTTTTTGTTTCGTTTTTTGAGACAGGATCTTACTATGTAGCTCTGGCTAGCCTGGAACTCACTCTGTAGACCAGGCTAGCCTCAAACTCACAGAGATCTGCCTGCCCCTGCCTTCCAAGTGCTGGAATTAAAGGTGTGTACCACCACACCCAGCTGTATTTAACTTTATAGACCATCCTTGAATTTCTTCCTTTCTGTATTCCCACACACACAAGACAAGGGCTCATGTATCCCAGGCTGACCTCAACCTTGTTATGAAGCCAAGGATGAATGATTTCCTGTCTCCACCACCCAAGGGCTGTAGGTGTGTACCATTATGTCCTGTCCCTCTGCCCATTATTTAAAAAGGCTATTGTTAATCATAATATAACCATTTGTCATATATTTGAGTGTAAGTCAGTTATATATGGTTTGTAAATATTCTTTTCCATTCTTCAGATTGTCTTTTCACTTTCTTGGTATCCTTTGGAGCACAAAATGTTTGTTTTGGGGGGTTGGAGTTGTAAGTCTCTCATTCTTTTCCACAAAAGATTAAAAGACTTCTTTTAATAATAAAACAGCTTTTTTTTGAAGGCCTCTCGGAACCAGGCAGTGGTGGTTCATCCTATAACCCCTGTATCTTAGAAGCTGAAGCAGAAGCGTCGCCATGACTTCAAGACAGCCAGGGCTACATAAGGAGCTCTAGCTGGGCGGTGGTGGTTCATGCCTTTAATCCCAGCACTCGGGAGGCAGAGCCAGGCGGATCTCTGTGAGTTCGAGGCCAGCCTGGGCTACAGAGTGAGTTCCAGGAAAGGCACAAAGCTACACGGAGAAACCCTGTCTCAAAAAAAACAAAAACAAAACAACAACATAAGGAGCTCTAGGCCATCCTCTAGACGGCAGACTGAGTCCCTCAGGAGTGAGACATGTCTCAAAATGAAGTTATTAGTGGCTGGAGAGACGGCTCAGTGCTTTAGAGCACTGGCTGCTCTTCCAGAGGACCTGGGTTGAATTCCCAGCATCCACCTAGTGGCTCACACTGTAACTCCAGGTCTAGAGAACTTAATGCCCTCTTCTGGCCTCCACAGGCACTGCAGGCATGTGGTGTGCAGACATTCCAGCAGGCACAACACCCATACACATAAAATAAAAAGAAAAGGAAGAAAAACAAATTAATTAAATAAATGAAAAAAATTAAAGTCCTAGGGGTTACCTGAAAACAGGGGAATGTTTTCTAACTCACACTGAACAGTCTCACAGACTTCTATAGCACATAGGAAAGTAATTTAGGAGTACATTCCAAGAAAAATAAGAAAAGAAATTGATAAGTAATTAAAAGGCAAAGTATTTAATGGGTAGAAAATTAAATTTCATAGAGTTTCTGTGTAAGAATAAAGAGGCTGTAAAATATTTGACTTCTACTCATACCTGTAAGTGTATATAAAGCAGATAGTGAGAGGCTGAAACGTGAAACACAGCTGAAGGAAAATCTGCCCCGCTGAGCTGAGGGGGACTGAGAGGAAACCAGGGTTGATTACTTGGGTTAATGGGCTGGCGGCCAGAAATGACAAATGGCTACGTTAAAGAAGTTATTCCCTTTACATGGTGAATGATTGCCAGGGATGTTTTAAATAATAAGTGTGGCTCTTGAAATAAGGCTTTCTGATTAACTCCCCATCCCTCTTTGAAATCCTTGGTAGTTAAAACTGACTTCAATATACCTCTGGAACTTTTTAGAGAAGTTCATGGGAGTGCACAGAGTTAACAGTTTATAAATTTTCTTCATTTTCACAGAGGAAAACAGGCACAGAAACTGGGTACCTCTATTGTGGTCATCCTGATGAAAATCTCCTGGGTTCTCTGGGCTATTCATTTCCTCCTTGTAAATACACCCCACCACACTTACAGGAACAAGAAGAAGCTTAAAGAAGAAATGGTTCCTGGTGGGCAGGCAGGGCTGAAATTTGAGAGCACTGGAAGGGAAGTTGGGTCAGTAAGACAAGCAAGAAGAGAAATATGGGGTCAGAAATCTACTCAAGCAGTCTTCTCAAAAGAATTCGGAATTTAAGCAGAGTTAAATAGCCTGCTTAAGCCTCAGGACCTCACACACGCTATACCAGCTCTGTCACTCAGCGACACCCTCTACCCACCTGGGAATTTTAATGTACTTAAGGAAAGAATTACATTCTCAAACCTCGCCTGGGTCTGCAATGTGGGTTGTGAAAAGATGGCAACAAGAGCTTTTGACATTAACGGATCCTAACAAGGTGCTGGGGACCGGACACCTTGTAGAGTGCTTGTAAACTTGGAGCTGTGTGTATTTTTCAGAGTCTTCTAACTGTACTGGATGAGTTGAAGAAAATATTTTACCAGCATCTAGGGAAAGCAGTGTGCTGGATGGACACTCTCCATCACTGTGACAGAATCCCTGAGAAAACAATGTAAGAGGGAGACATGTTTATTTTGGCTCACAGGCTCAGAGGTCTCGGTCTGTGACCAGCCAGCTCTACTACTTGTAAGCTTGTAGCAAGGCAAAATGTCATGTTGGACAGTCATGTTGGGAAAAGGATGCTTAGCACACAGTGGACAGGAAGTAGGATATCACCTCATTACTTGCCTCTACTTCCTCTAAGAAGGTGCTACTTCCTAACTTCCTCCAACTCATTAGCCCCTTTAGGATCCGTAACTTCTCATCAGCATCACCAGCTGTGAACCAAGGCTTCAAAAGTCTTGGGTGGGGGACATTTCAGAGTCAAGCCATAGCAACTAGTTACCAAAGACACGAACATGTAATAATAGATCAGTGAGAGTGCTTTGGTTGTGAACACTTAATAAAA